ATATATAATCAAAAGCACCTCTACTAAGGATAATATTGACCAGTATAAATGTATATAAATTCTGAATTATATAGTTTTTTGAAAAAAAAAATATATATAAAGATTTATTTATTTGTGCATACAGAACTGGGGTATAGGCCAGAGGCTCAGGGGCAGCGAGAGGCTTCACCAGAGACAGAGTGGGGAGCAGAACAGGCAGATCTACACTGCTGAGGGGAGCAGTGGGCGGGTCAGGAGAGTTCTGCCACGCCATGTGGTCACCTTGGGGCAGGCGGGAATCAAACTCCTCTGGAAGTGGTTTAAGCTTCTCAGTGCTGTGCTTTAACCTGCTGCAACACCAGGGAGGGCTGAAAATATATATATTTTTGAATCAGGCTAAGTAGTAAAACTAAACAAAATATTAAATATCCCTGTATTACATTTCAAATAACTAGGTGACTAATCCTGAATTTTAAATAAGCTTTTTCATGTCTGACAATAGAATTTGTTTTAAACAGTCTTACTTTAAGCACATACAAATTCATACAAATTTTTAAAAAATATAAAAAAATCAATCGTGTGTTCTACCTGCTCTTGTAAAATTTTCCAAAATTATTAAGGAGATACAATTTTACCCTTTATTTTATGAAAAATAAATTCCTTTTCCCACATGAGTGAAAGGAAGAAATTTCAAAGAAAAATGTTTATTATATGTGATATGTAAATATTTAAATAAGAAATTCTTAAGTAGCCTTATGGATTATCAATTTAGACTGAGTGCCTCAAAGTATAACTTGGTATTCTGTGACAACTTTCAAATTAGAACTGTTTCCCTTCTGATTATTTTGCTCTAATTGTGATGAATAGCCAAGTTCAAAAATAGAACTTAAATTTAATTAGCCAATGAAAAGTATAAATACTGCTATCATATTTCATTACTAAAATCAGTTCCTAATTATAGTAGCCCTTTATTCATATATAAAATAATCTGCAATATTTTAAGGGACAATCAACATTACTGCTAGCTGATTTTTTTTTCCCAATAAGCATAGTATTACCAAGAAAGAATTTGCTAGCATTCTTTTAACCAAAACTGTGATGCTGCTTAGAGCATAGAATTTCCAGATGGTAAATACGCAGTTTTAGTTTACCAGAATATATAAAATAAAGTTTAAAACCATCAAAATATCAATATATCTTTACCTCACAAAGGCCCAGCATCATCTTCCATCACTTTAAAATGTTCCTGTAATATCAAAATGCCTGTAGTTCTTACACACTAGCCTCCACTTAATTCTAATGACTCATTTCTCATAGCAACCCTGCTTTGATGTGCTCCTTAGTATCTTGTTCATTCTTAGTCACACGGTAAGAATTAACTAAAACTAAATGAGAGCAAACTCTCCCTAATATTTCTAAAACGGAATATTCTAACTCATCTTCTCTCCAGCTACAGAATCTAAGCATACTTCTAAATGATGTGATTTCTTCTTCTTCTCATAGAGCATTATCAATTACAGTATATCTTTACTCTGATTATATAGCTATCGTGCACAGATATATAATACTCATAACATCTACACATATCAAAAATATACACATATTAGAAGAAAATATACAGCAGCTTTGCTCATCAGAAAACCAAAAACCACTCGATTCTTTCTTTATGAAATTTGAGTTAGAAGCATTCAAAAATGTTGGAAGGAGTGGAAAATTAAAATGAGAAGACAGATATAATGTTTTAATGAATCCGAATAATTTCATGGATTACAGACTACTATCAGTGAATTCACAGCTACCTTCAAAAGTAAGGCAGAGAGTTTGCAGGGAACTCTTAAAGGATGTATATAATGATGCTCATGAGATACGTCACTGCTAGAAATATACTAGTGTGACCTTTATTTCCTTTACTGCTTCTAAATCTCAGATAACTATCCAGCAGAGTGTGACATAGGTTCTTGCTTACAAAGATTCTGAGAACACAATCACCAATCTTTCTTTGCATTATCTTTGTGGCAATACAGAGATCCTGCTACTGAGCAGGCAAGATACAAATCAGGCATTTGCCATCACCCTGATATAAGTCCCTTCTATCCATATTTATATTCCAAATAATTATTATATAACTATTCTTCACTATTTTGGGGGAGCCGCCCTTAAACAAAATATACCTCAACATTTCTCAAACTGCTAAAAATGGAGCTTCCATATGATCCAGCAATCCCACTCCTAGACCCACCCAAAAGACACAAAAACACTAATTCAAAAAGACAACTGCACCCTCATGTTTATTGCTGCTTTATTTACAATAGAAAAGCCATGGAATCAACCCAAATGCCCAAAAGCAGATGACTGGATTAAAAAGGGGTGGCACATATACAAAATGAAATATTACTTAACCATCAAAAAGGATAAACTCATGCCTTTTGCAGCAACAGGGATGGAGCTGGAGGGATCATGCTTAGCGAAATAAGCCAGAAAGAAAAAATACTAGATGGTTTCACTCATAGCAGGAGCATGAAGGACCGGGGGAAAAATAATAATAATGAACTATATACTATATATAGTATCTATATACTATATACTGGAGAATTTTACGTGGGTGAGTGGGAAATAGGATCAAAAATGGCGGGGGTGGTTAGTGCATGGGACTATAGTGATTGGCACATGGGGATTACAATTGAGCACGGGACTATAGTAATTGGCACACGGGATTACAACTGAGATGGGAAAAGTCACAAAATGATGTAAAAATAAACTATAATAAATACACACATATACATATATATACCACATACACATATATATACATATATATGTATATACACGTGTGTGTATATGTATATATGTGAAGTTTGACAAGCCCCAAAATGGATAATGTATTAACATGTGGTTTTAGAGCAAATGAACTATAATCACAGTAATAACTAAAATTACAAAGGAGTGGAATATATAAAACTGAAAAGGATATTTAACTTCCTCAGATGTCTTCAAAGTAGCAATACTTCTCAGTACAGGGTAATAGTTAGTATGAGGCAACCTTAAAGGGAGGGTTCTAGAAAGCAAATACCCTCTCCCTCCTTCATATCTTCTGTCAAGACTCCTACATTGGCAAAAATCCACCCAAACTAGAGATTGTTGAAATGTTTTATATCATTTAGCATCACAGACCAGAGAGAAGAATGAACAGAGTGACAAGTAGACCCAGAAGTACAAATGAAGACATGCTTTGAAGTAAGTAAGGTTCATCATTCACTCATTCACACCAATATAGGAGTAGTGGAGTACACAGTGTCCCCACCCCATTCAAAGGCATAAAGAATCAGGTAACAATCTCAGCACGCACTTGGATGAAAATCCTATTTTTATTAATGGAAATGTTATACCTCAAAAACTAAAATATTAAAACCAACAGTATTAAATCCTGTGATATGGGAAGCAACATTGGTAATTAGGTTATTGGGATTAGTGTGGTTTACTCTGAATTTCTGAACTCATATTTTTCATGTATAGGAGAAAAACAAATTATTGAGTGTTGGCTCAAAGCATAGAGTGCATTCTGTAGGACATCCCCTTCCACTCTCAGTAAGCATCTTAATAAAGTCCTTATAAACAAACCCACCATTCTTTAAGACCATAGTTTTGTTTGATAGGGTATATAATGATAAAGCTCAGAAACTTAAGTAAAACAATCCCTTCACTAATTTTCTTCAACAATTAATTATTTGGTTTTGAGTAATAACATACAAGGTACTATCTTATGCCTATACCCCAGGCTTAGTTTAACAAAAAAAGAAAAAAGAAAAAAAATGTATTTCTTAGAAATGCGTATGACACAAAGGATTTCTGGTCTCTATGCTTTTCATAAGGAGAACGAAAATATGGTATGATGTCTAGTTTATACTGCAGACCAGTGAATCATTTGTCAATGTATGTGTGTTCTGCTAAGATAAAAATTCAATGTTTTTAGTCCTCTGGTATCTAGTTAGATTCTTACTATGAGAGCAATTGGTCTCATGATTAAGTTAACCATTTCTCATGTCTAACTATAGTGTATTGGCGTCTATGCAGAATGCTAGGGGATATCTCACTGAGAGAAGCTGTCACAGCTCAATGGTATGGGTGACTGACTCTAGGACTTATCAGTCCCCACAGCTTGCTGAGATAGAAGAGTTTGTTGGAGATCTGATACAGGCCTAAATGTAAGCTTCTGCCATAAAACTAAATAAAATTATGCCACCCTCATACACTCAAAGATGGGGAATACATTTATTAATAATAATATATACTAAGATAAATTATACTAATTTATCTTATTACTGTCATAAAAAAAAGATGTACATATACCCTGAACAACTAAACTTTAGTATCAAAAAGGGAAGTAAAAAATTTAAAGGAGCCATACTTAGTCTTTCTTTAATATTATTTGAAAGTAAGTGCTGCCTGTTGTCAAAAGGATAAGATGCAAAGCTGTTTAAAAAACAATAAACTATACTATAGCAGAATTAGCAAATAATATATTACACTCAATATAGAATCTTAGTTCATAACCTGATGATACCAAGATGAGCACTATCAATCATCTGATATTAAAAACTAAGTTAAAAAATTATATAAATACAGAAAAAATAAATTGAAACATTCTAGTCGCCCCTTATAGTTGTCACTATCAAATTAGCTCATTAATCTTTGCAAAATTTAGTGTAATTATAATAATTTATCTTCTTAAGAGTAGAAAGAAATCCACACAGCTCTCAATTTCTGACTATTTGTCCTATTCTAAAAAAAGAAAGATTTAAGACAAAGTTCTGGAAAGAGGCATCCACAGCCATGATTCATCTATGACACAAATAAATACATGGTGACTACTACTAATTTCTTTTTAAAATGCTCCACAAAAAGAATTTTAGATTTTCATTAAGTAGTTATTATTCTGCTAAAATAAAAAGTTGCAAATGCTAACAGCAGACATCAGATTCCGCTTTTTTTTTTTACTGAAAACAATTGCTTTAATTAAAAAAAAAAAAAAAAAAACCTGTGCTAACAACTCTTACAATTCAGATATATATAATCTTGTGAGATCTGAGATCTAAAACTGCAAGAGTTCTTATATTCAGTAGCTCTCTGGTTTAAGACGACCACCATCTCCTTCACTTACAAAACGTTTTCTGCCCCTGTAAATGAAAAAAATACAAACATGAAAACAGGTAAAAAATTTGACTATGTTAATGAAAAAAAACTAGACTTAGTATTTTTTGATGATTTATGTTGTATGGAAGGCTTTTATTATCATTTAAGGACAGTTAGATGCCTCTAGTGCTTTTAAGAAGATTTTTTTCCCTGATACATATCCTTGGGTATAACAGCAAATGATGCTTTTATGAAGTTTCTAGTTAAACAAAAGCTCAATTATTGAAATAAGTTCACTGTCCAAATGTAATAATAATAAAAAAGTTAAAATATAAGTAAGGCAAACATTGTGCTATTTAGAAATTTAATACTACACTGTTATTTGAAAGCTACACAATGAGCCAAATATGAAATACAAACATGATTTCAAATTTGCAACCTAGCTACTGAACATATCAAAATAGCTATGTTTAAGATTTTTTCCCCCTCAGATGTAAAAAAGCCATAATATAAATATAGAAAAATAAATCAGAATTCAATTAAGTCAACTCTATGCCCCATTTTGGAATTCCTGCTATTTCAAACTGAAAAGGCCTTCTATAATATAACCACACTCTAACCACATGTAGTAGCAACAGTCCAGGGAGAACAGCTGACCAGCAGCCTACTACTGTATGTGGAAAGCAGAACTTGAGCAGGATTAGCGCTTATTATCTCTATCCTGAGGCCAACATCCACAGGCATTCAAAGCCATATACAATGTGTCTGTTACCCAAGTAAGCAGAAGGATAAAGAGTCAAAGTCAAAGTATTATGGTATACACAGAAAGTTTAGGTATCATCTCAATTAATCCTTGAGAATATCACAATAGAAATAACCAGTTATGCTTTTGAACAGTTTTGAAAGTCCTTAAAAAGTTAATACCTACATGTTACCACCATTTTTCATACTAAATCTATATGAAACCCAACTACATGAAGGATTCAGACCAACATGAGAAGCAAAGAACTTCTGCTTAATGAAGTTGATGATTTTTACTGATGTCAATACATAAAGTGCCATTAAAGTAGATTATTTTATCAAAGTCATTAAATTATATCTTCTATTCTTTCTATCTCTTGATGGTTTCTAAAGTTTCTAGAGCAAAGGACACTGCAAGGAAGTATCTTTCTGAGATTTAATTCTCACACTGCACTTGTAAAAATATGCAAAACTTTAGAATTTTCAGATAAAAATCACAATATTTTAAAATGTATATAAAACAAACTCCCCAAATCTAGCTTTTATAACTGTTTCATTTATAACTGTTTCATTAGGTGCTTTATTTAAAAATAAAAATTTCAATTCCTAAAGAGTTAGATCCTACACAAATATACCTCCAGAGAAACATACACATAACTTTCTAGAGAGAGAGAACCCAACTAGCCCTAATTTTCCATTCTATGAAAGAGCAAAGGAAGCAACATAAAATATAAACATGAATCTAGATCTCTCATGTCAAAGAAAGTGTAGATTCATTCTTGGCTTCCATGATGTGTGATAGATTCAGAAAAAGAACATTACACTTCTCCAAGTCCCAATTGTCTCATCTTATTGGTGAATGTCTGCTTCAAAACAATATTTAAGGTAATAGTAACAGAGTTTGGTACACAGAACCAGGAAATTAATTTCCTTCCAGTGAACTAGAGTTTCATGAGGTATAGATTTACAAGGGAGTAAACTTCTTAAAACTACATACACCTTTATCCAAAAACTCCATAAACTCAGAACAGAAAATTTTCACTCAGGTTACTTCAAGGAAGACAGTATTTTATCCTGACAGGGTTAGAATGACAGAAAATTAGCTTAACCTTCACAAGCACCTTAGCTGACATTTTATGTTTAAAAAGTAATAAAGTACCTTGAAGGACAAAGATCTCTAAGTTGTTTGGAAATTATTCCAGCTTGAAAACATTCCTCTACAAACCGCTCAAGCACAGAGTAAGAATGTGGAACATCCAGGTTAATGTCCGGAATTTCATTGTAAATTCTCTCATAACCCTAAAATAATTGAATTAGATTAGGAATTATTGCCCACATAAAACACATAATACCAACCCATTGCTTTTATCAAGTTATAGCAGAGGCCAAAGGTTCATAATAATTAGAAGTCATGATAATTAGAAGTATAAGTAGCAGAGTGTTTTCTTTAAATCTGTTCTCCAGAAAGAGTTCAGGCACACATATTGGATATATTTCTTCCCATCTATTCCTCTAGATACTTAAAATAACTTTTTTAACTTTACCAATGCAAACAAATTAAAATAGAAGTTAAAGCATATAATTTGTTAAAAGTTCATGTTTCTCTCTAGCTATAAAATATAACTTTCCTATCTTAGAGACAGAATCCGTGAGGAAGAACATACAACCACATACTTTAAAACACAAGTAAAAGGTGGGGTCCTCTTGGTGGTGCAACAGATTCAAGCTCAAGCACTATGAAGCTGCAGAGTGGCTACGACAGCCACTACAGCGCAAGTTTGATCCCTGGCCACAGCCTGGCAGGCCTCTCCTGACCCGCCCCTGCTCTCCTCAGCGCACTTCGCCAATCTGCCTGTTCTGCTCCCCATTCTGTCTCTGGTGAACTCTATCACTGCACTTCTGGCCTGTAACCCAGTTCTGTAAGCATGAATAAGTAAATCTTTAAAAAATATATACAGGTAAAATGTAGCTGAAATGTTACTTTCTAAGAAGTAGCTACAAGAGATTCAAACATTACCATAAAAAAGAAAAGCTACACACATACCACTACTAATAGTACTCGTATTATAAAATACCTAAATACAACTATTATTTACAACTCATAATCTTTATTCAATCAAACATTTAAAGACAGAAGCCAAAAAGTGTTCAAAATAGTATTACTTACTCTCTTCATTTGGTCTAGAGTAATGGCAGAAGACTTCCAAAGGGAGTTTAATAAATGCAAAATCATCTTAAATGTACTTTCTCCAGTTGACTCTAAAACCATTACAATGGCCTAAAAATTGAATGAATGAATTTGGGGTCATTAATTCATACAAAAAACTGCTCCTAAAATGTTTGAAATCTCTTTTACCTAATATGCAACTATAATCTTTATAAAAATTTGAAAGAAGTTTATCCCATAACATTAAATTTTTTAAAAGGAAAAAGATGTATATTATTAAAGAATTATTAGGTCACTGTGTGCAAAAAAGAACACTCAGTAATTCTCTCTGGAATATCAAAGTAATCTTACTTCATATACAAGCTCATGGTGAAAATGAGGTACTTCCAGTTCCTTAAGGCAATGTTCAGCTTCAGCTATGTCTCCAGAGAGTAAATACTCTTTCAGCAGCATATCAATCTCTTTAACAAGGTGATTAACTGACTGCTGTCCACCTCCAGAGCCCCACACACTATCCTTGCACTTTCTTCCTTTTGACATGCTCAGGAGCACAGTCGCCTTGTCTAGAGCAGCTCTAGCCTGTATACAATCTACAGTTCCTTTGTAACTATCAATATAGGTATTACATAAAATTCCATCTCCAACAGCTCTAGCAATAAACTGGCCCACCAACTGTGGTGCTCTGGGAGTATCCAATGCTAATTCAGGTAGCTCTTTCAACAATTTATCAAATCACTTTTCCACATCATTTGTGCTCATTACTGTCCCACAAAGGTCAGAAAGGAGCTTAGATGTCATTTCTCTATGACTGGCCTTTCCCTCCAATGCCAAGGACACAGCCAGTACTGGTACTCCACTCTTCATTTCACCAAGATTTAAATCTCTCAGCATTTCTGCTACTTCATTAGTATCTCCATGCTCAAAATATTCCTGTATGATTGGCAATAGCAGAGCAGCAAAAGGCAGGCCTTTCCCTCTACTTTTTTCAGAAATGCTAATAAAATGGAGCACAGGTGTAAAGAGTAAACTCAAAAGGGTCAAGGCAAGAGATAAAATAAAAAACAGTCAATAAAAGTTGCCTGTTTTATGCTTTGCCTTTTGGAGAGAACAAAAACAGGTATGTGAAAAGTTACTGACTCTTCAACCAAGAACTTCACAGAACTTTTGATATTACCTAAATTGTTACATGAGCAGAAATGGTTAAGAAGTAAACAAAGTTTCTTGTAAAATTCCAGAGAGACTCAGAAGGTGTAGGAACCAAGAACCACAGAAAGCCTAAAGCAATCATGAGTTGTGAAGTTAAGGTACCACTTTTGAGTAGGATGGTGGAACAGTTCACCTTTCATACACATTTCACATACAATTTCTCTCATCAAGCATAAGATGTGATCTCTGCACACTGATCACAAATCAGAAAACAGCCTCCTGGTAAGTCCATCCCTCACCAATTTTGCAAATACCTAAGCAGCAGCCCACACCTATTTGTTATTGTCCGTGGGTGGCTGCTTTCTGCAGAAGGGAGTTGAGTCTCCCAATCTTTGCTCTAATTAATGAACTTGAGGGACTGCAACTGAAGGACACTCCCAAGAGTGTGACAGGCCACAAAGGCACAGACTGAAAACAGGGACCACAGCCGATTCTACACATTACACTGTGGGAGTTTCCAAGCCTCTTCTCTGTCCTCCCTGGAAAACAGCAATGAGGCTAACTTGTGTGCAAAATGCAAAATGAGCACCGCGGGTTTTCATAAAACTAATATTTTAGCCCAACATTCCCAAGTTTCAAAATTAGGCAATTTCAAGCAGATTTATGACAGACCACTCCTGACTCAGTGAATGGGTACCCTACCTGGTAAGCTGTTTTTTGTCACAATACAGACAATAGAGAGCCCATCGCCACTTACCTCTCTGCAGATCCCAGAAATTAGTCTTTCACCAACTCTTGGTCCATCGCCTACCGGGATGGTCGCCTCAGGCCCTCAAGGGTACTGAAGCTCCGCATCTGCACCTGCATCGCCTTAATCCCTCACGGAGCATTTCCTCAGAGGAGGTCGCTGTGCAGTGGCTGTTGTTAGACCATCTAGTTAGATCTGGAGTTGAAGGGAATTTCCTCCTTTCCCCTCCAGACTCCTGTGCTCAGAGAGCAGAAGGAACCCAGAGTTCCAGCGACTGGAGCTACTTCACAGACTAGTCTGGAGAGATAGTTCTTGAGACCATGTGGACTTGGACTTGTGACTGAAAGCCTGTTAGTCCGCCAGATAAACTGTCAACATTCTCGGCGGCTGAGAGTTCTAACTCTCGTTGTGAAGACAAGAGTTGGTGTCCGTGACCTTATTAAAACCGCCACCACCGATATGCTGTGGCTGGCTTTCCCTCAGCCTTTCCTTGGCCTCTGAGAGTGAAGACCCGTTTGGATTTCACCCAGGGGGTTGCTTGCAGCAAAGGTTAACAGCTGCACCTGGCTTGCTTCCTCTGTTCAACACGTCCCATGCATGATTTTTGTGCCGGTAAAACAGCCACCCTGGAAACCACTGCACCCTAAGAAGGCTCTGTTCTTTTGGAACATCAGGGGGCTGCCCCGGGTGTAAATCGAAAATCCCTCACTCCACTGAGTGTCAGAAGCCACCCATGAAAGTTCTCCACTAAGACAGGAACTGCAATGAAAGCATGGGGCAAAAAGCCCAAGACAGGAACTGCATAGGGCCAAAAGTCAAGCTGCAGCAGTGGTGCTGAGAGGTTTTACCTCCAGGTTTCCCACAGGACTTCCGAGAGCGTCTGACTTCCAGTCCCCAGACGCTAGCGGGAGGCCCAAGTCCTGGGATCTCCCGAAAGCAGTGCCTGTAGGTAAATTAAACCACTTCCGGTTTCTCCAGACTTTGGCTGTTGTAGGTAAATTAAACCACTTCCGGTTTCTCCAGACTTTGGCTGTTAGAGGCTCTAGATAGCTTCTAGTAATGAAATCCCCCACCTTGCCCTTGAGAGTTCTCTAATGAAACCGACTATTCGCCAACTTGGGAGATAAGCCACACCTGAGTATCCAGTTTTCAATCAGTCCTTCCATGTTACACTTTTTAAAGCAAATAATGTGTTGTGAAAGTTAGTTAATTCCTTTTTACCTGGAATTAACCTGAGCTGTTTTGCCAAAGTAAACGATGCACCAGGACATTATTGACTCCTTGTCTAGGTGTCAATTGTGTTAATGCTATTGCTTTTCAATCCTGGAGCCAAGGTTAGTTTCCCCGTTTTGTGCCGATTTGTGAGGATCTTTGATTGGTAACAGTGATAGGATGACCTACACCTGCTTTCAGTCAGTCCCCCTTCAACCCCTCCTCAGAGGGCTCTGCCTAGGGCCAATTATTTTCCAAGATAATGTCTGTATTAGGTCACCTGGTCCTCAGGCATTTTGAATTTATCTTGGTGGTTTGATAGAAAAAGCAGCTCAGTCCTGCAGATGGAGGACAATCAAAAGATAGCTTGCGGCCTTGCCTCACCTGATCTGTGTGTGCTCTGAGGCAGCCTTAGGTTGATATGCATTTCTTTGCTTAAGTGCTGCTGTCACTTTGTATTTTCTAGCAATAAACTGTAGATGTCTAAAGATTGTAATTGTGTGTTCTGAGTTTTTTTTCTCTTTTTAGCAATTAAAACTGTCTGCTACCATTATTGAATCCTCCAACAAGAAAAACAAATAGAACATGAAAAAAAAAATCAGAACAGAGGAAAGAGAAAAAAAATCACCAAGTCATAGCCTAAAAAAAAAAAAAAAGGTTATTTATTGCACCTAAAACAGCACGCTTTGAGGTTGCCTAAAAAGGGGGTGGTAGGGGATTGAATGTTTGGAGGATGGAGTGGGGGAAATCTAAAATGCAGGGAAAAGGAAAAATGGGAGAAGCGATACACATGTTTAAACATTTCTGTTTTGTCCCAACTTCTGTGACGGGCCATAAGAAAGAAAGGCTGAGCAAGCAGAGTTTATTGCTTCCGGACAGCAGCTGAGACGGAGACCCTAGGGTGGGGTCTTCAGCTACTGCCAACTCAATAAGGGGGAAGGGTCAAATATAGGTCCTAAGCTCAGATTTCAAAGGGGTGACTCATCACTGTGTCCTTGATGTAAGGCCCAGTTCGTTATCGCCTTCATCTAGTCCCATCCTGAAGCAAGGACCCGTTAATTAGATGCAAGGCCCAATTTATTACCACCTTATCACCTTTTGGATGCAAGGCCTGATTTATTATTGCCCTTATCCAGTCCCTCAGTAAATCTCCGCATTTGGTCACTCCCAACAATTTCTTAATAGAAGATCTAGAATATCAGGAAAATGGAGTAGGGGGAATTTGATAATGGTATAATTCATAAGGGTCCCTCGAAGGATTAATGAACTGCATATTTTAAAGTCATTCTCCATTTACTAGTCAGAAAATTTTAAATATTCTTAACCATGCATAGTACCAGCAAGGCACACAACAGGTTCTCTATGGGCGAGGTCAGATTGGTAAAGGAGTCCTGGAGCCCTCCATGGCTTTTTCAGGCTTTTAATGATAGTCCTACACCATATATAGTAAGGCAACCAGGTGCAAGGCAGACAGGGAGGCCTGGAGGCGGGGTGCTGGGAGGCCCCACCAGCCTCCACTGCACTCAGCCACAGGGTCCACCGCTATTTCCTGTCCTTTTGCTGCCTGTGTCTTATTGGCTCAGGCTCAGACAGATACGCCCACCTACACAGCCAACATCAGGCTCCAGGTACTGCCATCAGGCAGGACCACAGGTGTCCATCATTGATGCTCATGGTGGGAGGGCAGAAAAAACTTGATCACTTCCAATTACCCTATACAGAGGTATATCATTATCATGTGATTTTTATACCACTAGAAATGAGATAAGTTTTCATAGAGGAAAAAAATACCATACCAAAACACATTGTATGTTGTGCAGCATATCTCTCCTGTCTGGCCTGCTGCTCCCTCAGCAAGTATATATCCATTAACCTGTCTGTTTTGCTCCCCATTCTGTTGCTGGTGAAACCTCTCAACCCCACATCTGGTCTATACCCCAGTCTTATATGCATAAATAAATAAAATAAATCTTTAACATAAACCATTGTGTAAGTATAGCATTCTAGCAATACAGAGACTATTCTAGCAATACGGAGACCATTCTAGCAATACAGAGAAAAATAAAATATTGTTGGAGAATTTTTATTTACAAATAATGATTTAAATTAGAAATTTTTGAATTTTAAAATATGTTACTTATAAGTTATGATCATAAACATGTGCCCCCCAAATTATATTAAGATTTTTTCATGATATTGGTCAGAATGTTACATAGAATTTATGATATTTATATGTATACCGCTTCACAAATTTGTATATTATCCTCTCATGAGGTGACATGCTAATCTTCTACATAGCTTTCCAATTTTAGTGCTACTCTGGTGAGATTACCATAGGATCTGTATTACTATGAATACTAATACTAAAGAAAACATAAAAATTCTTAAATTTTTAAAATAATACATTATTTCAACAGGCAGAACAACAAAGCTTTCTAAATCACTAATCTGTGCTGAATATGCAGACACTGGAAAATAAAATGTTGGTTTCTAACAATCACTTAAGTGTTAGATATTTTAGAGGATATTAAGCATTTCAATGTTAAAAGGGAAAATTGGAAGTTTATCATTCTGATCACTAAACTACTTGATAGTGACTTGGGATCATCCTTGTTTACCATGAGCTACTCTATACCAGTGAAACATAACCACCTATAAACAGCCATAACAGGAAGAACTTAAAAAAAAAATACTTAACCACTGTATCAGAAAAATTTTGTGCCATAAAGTTTTCTCTACATTAAAAAAAAAAAAAAATCTAACGTCACTACATCACTACCAATATCTGGATTTTATTTCTTAAAGAAAACAATTTATTGCCCCCTCTTCTGTACTGAATGATAATACCTATAATGGGGAATGAAGAGATATATGCCTCCTTGCTAATGAAATAATGACTTTAATAAATAACGTATTTCTGTAAACATCCATGTATGTGTGTTAATCCTTAACCGCTGTAGGAGATCACTTAGCAAAGGGTTTCTATCTGTAGCATCATATAATTGATTCTTGAAGGAGGGATAATCATCATTGATCATCATTGTATTATTTACTCAGTGCAACTCAGTAAATAAATTGTACTCAGATGTAGTTTATTATATAGAGAAGAATCTTTATATAGTACAAAGACAATTGCATTGGTGCACTTAGCACTATTTCCTCATACTTTTTGTATTTGTGCCAAAGTACTTCTGGTAATATTAATTGAAAGGAGCCACATGGTATTTTAAATAGAGTCATGGGAATTTATGCCATTATACAGCTGAGTGACTACACAAAACATCCATCAGTACTGACCACACCATCCAAAATTGCTTTGTGGCATCAAACCAAGACATTACATTTATCTAATCATTGACTTTACATTTACCTCAATCTATTTCAAGACAAGAAATGAAATGCTTGCTGCAAAATTACATTTCCAGCAATTTCTGATAAAGGAAGGAGATGAACTTTGAATGGAGCAATTGTTTTCTAAATGGATTTTTAAGACATGGTATATTGGGTCTTGCGTTCACTGATTTGTATTGGACCAAGTGGCACAGGTTGAAAGGGGACATCTCTCTAGTAGAAAAGAGTTGGAAGGAGATTGCTTGCACCCTGAATCTGAGGCCTCGAGCCAAATTTTTAAAAACTGCTCTGAGAGCAAATTTCTTTTGATTTCTTAAAATAAAATTTCAAGATCCTATAAGCACAGGGACATCTTATATCTTTTGGGACATTTTAAAGAGAAAAATACATTAGTTCAGTAGATGCTTCAAAGGACTGGAAATGGGATATAAAGACCTTTCACCCTTGGAATACCATTTGATGAATGCAGCCTAGGTTTAAAGTGATCATAATTCATTGTATTGAACTACCGTAGTTTAAAGAATAATCATAAGATTTCCTTCAGGCTAGGAATCCT